CGATTGTCTGGAAGCTGCAGGATCCGAAGGGTCCACACCGTTGATCGAGTGCGATTCGCGTCGCTCCATGTTCATGGGACCAGTAGGCATGTCTACTCCCCGTGGGTCCATCGACATGCGCCTAGGCATAGTTCCACTAACGTTGGACGAGTTCCTCCTCCTGCCCCAAGTAGGACCATCCGCGCTTGCCCGTGAAGTCTGGAACGCCGCTGAGGGCTCTGCTGGGCCGCCGTCCTGAGAAGGCCTCTGTAGCACGGCGGACGGCTGCTGCCGGTAACCACCCCCAGCATCTCGTCCAGAACCCCGCCGCATGTCATTGTGTACAGGCTCGTAACGACCACTTTGCGAATTGAACAATTCCCGGCCGTCTCTAGTATCTCGGCCGCCGCTTTCGTTGCGCCAGTTGCGATTAAAGTCATCGGGGGCGATCTCCTTCGCGGGAGGTGGGGGCATGGAGTCGTAACCATAGGAATCGCGCTGTGTGTAACGCTGTGGGGGTGGTTGCTGCGCAGGGGGATTGATTTGTATCGGCGACACCTTCTCGACTGGGGGCAGAGGCGCCCATGGTGACTTCTTCTCAGTCGCTGATGGCTTGGCTACTAGAGTTGGTCTTTCTGGCTGACCCTTGAGGACCAGGCTCGACTTTCCAGTACTGGGCTGCGTGTGCGCACCAGGCTTCAAGATGGTTTTGGCACCACCAGTGACGCTCAGTTTGGGTGGGTTCGTGGCTGGAGCTGGGGACGTGGTAGGCTTGGGTGCTTCGGCGGGCGTCTCAGGCTTGAGAATAGTCTTGGGCTCTTCGGCGGGCGGTGGCTGCGTCTCCGGTGGCACCGCAACCGAGGACTTGGTTCCATCCATCCATTGCACTGCTTCCGGGGTCCAGTCTTCCTCGTCATCGTCGATGTCTGCCCACTTGGCCTCCTTGCCTCCTTCGTCTGCCTGTAGGCGTGTTGCAAGGTGTATACCGTACTGCTGCTTCAGTTCTTCGTCGGTGAAGGTTTTGGGCGGGGGAGTTGGGACAGGCTGGTTCTTATTCCAGACTTTGCTCGCATCTGGACCTGCACCTGCGCCATTGGTCTGTCCCAGCGCACGCGGGGCGTTGCCAGCGCCGGATTTCGCTACGAGGCGGGGCTTCGCGGTGAGAATCGATGTCTTGGGCGGAGCTGCCGGGGCTGCTTTCTCCCCCGGTCGTGCAGCAGGCGTGGTCGGAACAGTCTTGGCTAGAAAGCTCTTGGTCACAGATACTGACTTGAACGGCTGTTTCTTGGCTGCTGAGTTGGTCCGCACGTGAACTCCGTCGCGCTTGGACTGGTCGACGCTTCCTGGGCGGCTGATGTCGGTATCTGAGCCACCACTGGCATCTGCTACGGCTTGCGACTCCGCCGCCAGATGTTCGCTCGAGAAGCCATTGAGGTGGGGCTGTTTGGAATCGTGCCGTGATGCATCCGACTGCTTGTTCTCGCCCTGCTACTATTAACACCACGTCCGGATGCGTCTTCCTCGCTACTTACAGCTGCCACATCTCCATCGGCCTTGTCTGACACGTGTGCACTACCAGTGGCGGGTGCACCTGTGCCGTTCACAGTGGGTTTCGTAGGAGACGCTTCTCGTGGGGTCGGTTTCGTGGTCGCTGTGCCCGAGGGCGGTTCGCCGTTGACGGCGGGGGTGTTGGTAGTTGACGCAGAGTCGTCGATGGGCGCAGAACGACCCACCGACTGTGCTTCCTTTACCACATCGTTGGCAACCTGCTCTGCCATAACAGTTTCCGGAACTGAAGTGGCGCAAGACTCAATGTCAGAAAGATGTTCTTGGTCTGATCCAAACAAGGACGTGGGCGTAAGCGGCGCCGACTGCTGCGAGTCGAGCCCGGCCGGACGCCCGCTGTCCTCCACATGCGACATGGGAGCTAAGAAAAGTTGGGGATAATCACCTAATGTCAGATGCTACAAGTCGCCACGGATGTCAAGTCGGCGCTTCCGCAGAGTTGCTATCTGCAAGTTGCTGAGGTGACGCGGCGAGTGCGGAGGTTTCGGAGTGTTTCGCTGGATGGATGCGCGGGCTGGAGGCAGTCGCGAACACGTGCTGGGTCGCGCTGATTCACCGAACGGCGTGGAGTCGCGCTCGGGAGGGGGCGGCGTGAAAGAAGGGGCCCTTTCGTGGTGGGGCGGACTGCGGGTGTGGGTGGGTGTATAGGAGGTTGAGGCGGGTAGCTTGAGTAGCCACGATGGTGAGAGGCGCTAGTCTTGGCACACGCCTGGGGTCCTCTTTGTATCGATTCTGACATCTAGAATGCCCTGGGAGCTATGCGTCACACGGCTGCAGCGACAATCACGATTCAAGCCTGAGCTGCGGAGGTGCGGGCTGGACGAAGCCTGCTGGGAAGACTGGTCGACAGACATCTACTGACACATGCTCACTCCGTGCACGTGAGGTTGTTTGACATGTGTATTTTCAGAAACGAGACGACAAGACCCACTACATTTCCGTAGTACTGCACATGATGTACTACCTTATCCTCGCCCGGGATGACGTTGTCGGCCCCATGAGAGCTGACCAGGCCTCCGCCACCGCACACGTGTGGATGTTGACAAAGAAGAGGGCAGGGTCATTTGCATGATAGGAGAAGAGACTGTCTTGGCTAGATGTTTGATTCACCAACTACACTTTACATATACACATCCGGTCTATTCGCCCGTGACGATGCAGCGCATTCAGAGGACCCGCTTAGTGCTCGTTGTTCTTGTGGTGGCCTGCAAGTGGTGAGTCACATCATCTCGTCAGCGCATCTGAATCGACTTACGGAGATGGAAGTAGTAGTTCTGCGCGTAGCCGATGGCGATCAGGAAGCCAATGACGTGAACGAGGGCTGTACAGGGTCAGTCTGGTGCTCCCATCCGATCTCGCAGGCTGAAGGACAGCGCTCGCGTAGTCTCCTGTCCCGCCGTGTGCACTCACGCCTTGCCGATGGGTTCTTTCCCATGTACTTCTTCTGGTAGCGTCCGAGAAGGCCCTTGGCTTCGGGCTCGGGAGCTGGGCCACGGGGCAGCTTCTCGTAGAAGCTCACGACCTTCTGCATGCGGACAGCATTGGGGGAGGAGCCGATAGCCTGTTTCGTACATCAGCCCTGGTCTGGAATCGCCATTTTGAGAGTCGTCGGGATGCGCCAAGGTTCGCAGTCGGGGTGCTGCGACTGTGGAGGCGTTTGCGGTGGGCCGAAAGTTGCGCGTATGCGATTGCGGGGGTTCGAAGGCGTGCTAGGATAGCGTTTGGAGGGCTCTTACATTGGGAGAAGCAATCTAGAGAGCATTGTCAGCGCCATGCGCGGTCCGAGGGGCAGACAGAAGCCGTACCTTGGGGGGGATGAGGGTCGAGAGACCGCGCTTTTGCATGAAGCTCATCTTGACAGCTGCGGGCCAGTTAGCATCAATTGCACTCTCTCTGCGTGGTGGATCGGATCGGGCGACGTACCAGGGCGGGCAAGACGATGGAGTGGAGATGGAGGTCGTGCGGTCGGTGGTGAGGTTCGAGGAAGAAAGCTGCAGGACGGATTATGCCGGCGCCTTCGCCAAGCAACCACCCCAGCTTCATCCCATTGCATCGACATCACCAGCATTCCCGCTCGCCACGCCGACGACACAACCACCATGGCTGCCCTACCGAGGACAATTGCATCGCGACTGCTCGCCCCCGCCCTGCGGCCCTCCGCGACGAGGGTCATCGCCCCCTCCTTCCGCACCTATGCGACCAACGAGCCCACTCCCCACGGCCACAAGACGAGCTCCGAGGATGCGCCCGCCGTCAAACTCACGAGCGAGTCCACCCAGATCCGCGAGGAAAATGCCGCCGAGGGCATGAGGCACCAGCCAGACTACAACGTCGCCATTGACTACCGGACCTCGTGCGTCAACCGTGGATCAGGATAAGGCGGCATATGGCTAACATGTCCCCAGCAACTTCTCCCCGGTTCCCAAGCGCGTCATGGACGGCAGCGAGCCCGGTGACAGTGTTGCGGCTGCCGTTCTATCCGGCGCCCCCACCGACCTCCAGGCGCGTACTGTTCGGTACGAGACATCCTCCACCCGACGTCGGCCTTCATACTAATTGTTCCCAGCATCTACAAGCCCTCCAAGACAGCCACACAATCCGGCGACTGGAACGCCTCGCACTGGCTGATGGACTGGGACGTCCTCCCCAAGGGCCACCGATGGGAGAACCCGCTCATGGGCTGGCAGTCGTCTGCCGACTTCATGAACGGCCACCGGATACAGTTCAAGTCCAAGGAGGATGCCATCAAATTCGCTAACAAGCAAGGCTACGAGTACTTTGTCCAGGAACCTAACAAGCGGAAGACCGTCCCCAAGGCATATGCCAACTTGTTCAGTCACAGCCCAAAGAAGCTCAAGATCATAACAACCAAGTAAGAGTTTGATTTGGCCAGGCGCGAAACAGCACGTGTACATACTGCATTGAATTACATTTTCAAGATATTTTCCTCCTGGATGCCCCGTATGTTGATGTTGATGTTCGAGCGTCCCGCATGTTGCCTGGCCGCCGCAACACCGTTCTTCCTGACGCGTTTGCAATTTCCTTATTGTCTGAACACTGCACCGGGCCGTCGTAATCCCCATTGACGTCGAATTTAACGAGGCAAACGCACACAGCCGCTAGCCATATATCAATCTTTTCTGCCCCTCCGTCTCTGTCTCTCCTTCATGAACTCCGTCACCGTTGCCGAACCTCTTTGTGCAGCCATGTCTTGGTCACCGGGACTCGAGGTGAAGGGCAGTAGCCCCAGACTGCCCTTCACCTCTGCGCTAACAAAAGCTAGAAGCTATATACAAACTTTTGAGCTTTTGTTTTGGTTCTCCAACCACCAAACTCCCATCACCAGTTAGTATATTGTACAGCTTCAGCGTACCTTTTGCTAATGGCGATCAGCCACACCAGACTACACAGTAGTCATCAAAGCACTTCACCACCTCGCCCACCAGCCAGAAAAGATGGGTCGAGCAGGGTACGAAACTACCTACGTCTGCAGCGACAAGGACTCTGCGGCGGCAGACGCAATTGCCATGCACGAGGTCAAGAGGGCCGAGGCAGCCGCAAGTACATCAGCACCTCCTGACACTACCATGGCACTAACGTACAACAGAAGATCGCGGCCATCGAGGCTGCTGAGGCTGCAGAGGCCAAATTCATCAGGAGCAAGAAGTCTCGTGGAATCGTGGCCGCACGCAAGGCCGCCAAGGACAAAGCCACCTCGCAGGCGGGTGCCTACGAGTCGGAGGGCGACTCAGACAAGACCACAAAGCCCTGACGACTTCCGCGCACCACCAAGACACCTGCGGACGACCGTCTCTCCTCCGCTCATGGTACCCGTCTGGCGACAGTATAAAAGTTGGAACCTGATATTGAAAGAACGATACCCAAGCTTGATCAAAGCTGGTGGCATCTGTCTGGCGGCATATCACATTCGAAACTTGATTTTTGGAGTAAGGAATGGCATTAAAGATACCCAGGCTTAGTTAAGCAATATGAAAGGTCATGAATTCGTAACAGTCTACCTCATCGCTCCACTCTAGTCTACTAGTCTCCTCTCAACTATGCTCTGCCTCTTTGCCTTGACTGCAGCAGCTCCCTTGATTGCTGTCCTGGTAGCGTCGAAGAACTTGTTCGCCATCTTCTGTACACCCGTCTGCAAGTTGGGGTGTTCACCATCGTCTGTGTCCTTGACTGCGTCAAAGTCGGCGAAGTTGTCCACGAAGTAGACAGGGCTCTTCACATTGCTCTTCTTAGGCATGTGCGTAGCCATGTAAGCGTTGAGGTCTTTGATGCCTTGAACGGCCTGGGCATTGAAGCGCGCGGGGTCCAATGGAAGTAGGTTGGAGACGACGATCTGCATGTTGGGATTCTTCTTCCGCATTTGTGCGATAAGAATGTCGTACGAGGCGATTATGTCGTTGATAGGCCTCTTGCCGATGAGAACATCGTTGGTACCGAGGAGCATGAGAACGACATCCGGAGGGTTCTTGTCGAGCCAGCCAGGCAATTGACTGTTCTTGACAATGTCGGCGGCTTGGAATCCGGGGTGACCTTCGTGATCCTGGTCGATGTTGGTCCCACTGCAGGTGCTCTTTTGGCCACCGACAAAGTCAAAGTTCGTCACACCTGCATCCCTAAGCTTGGTTTGGAGGTTTGCGCGCCAGCATCGCTTGAATATGAGTCAGTGGATGCAAACTTGAAGTGAGGAAGGTGGGATACGTACCGAGACAATGGAAGCACCAAATGGCATGACCTTGACTGTCTTTTGAGCGCAGACTTCGCTGGCAAGGGTCAGGAGCCCGAGGGCGAGGGCGGAGATCTTGACCATCTTGTATATGGATAGAGTATAGAAGTGGTGAAGATTGTTCGGTGGTTGTCTGAGTAGTTGACCGGTAATCAAGAATTCGAGAAGAGGAAGGCCGCGGGATTATGTATTAATAGCAGCGCGCAGTCGAGCCGTCGGTTGTGGAAATCCGTGCGCGTGGGAAACCCCTCGTGCGTTGTCCCGTTTGTTATCGCGATGCCCGGTAAGGTCCAGAGCGTAAGGCGGCAGGAGCTTTGCGTGACCCGTGAAATGAGGCCAATGTATTTAGCAATCACCGAGTTCAAAGGGCCGTTATGATAGATTCCGCGAACGTGTAGATATTTATTCCGAAAAAGTATAGTGAGCCAGGGGGCGAAGCAATATAAGTTATGGATAGTTCGTAGCAGTAGTAGCAAAGTAAACCTTGAATGTTGCTTGCTTGTGATATCAACATCCAGGGATGTGAACCGGCACCTTATATCTAATTCCCAGACACAGTACGGTGCACGCTAGACGTGATCAGACGACGACGGCGGAGTAGACTGGCCGCTGTTTCCAGGCCTTAGCCCCACCCACCCCGCCCTTGCTCGTCGCCTAGAGTCAAGAAACAAAAGGCCGGGTGCGGCGTACATGTGCTGGTCGCCGTGGAAGGAGGAAGCGGCTGTGCCTGGCTCAGGAAGGCTGGCTGTACCACCCCTGTCAAGACCGTATCGGGAATAGATGACGCTAGAGTAGTCAGAACGCTTGGTCGGTTTGGGGAGACGGGAGACTAGATTGTAGGTCCAGATTACACTGTGCCGCTCGGGGGGCTTTGCGTTGTTGGTAATGCGGTGAACGGTATGCGTCTCCCCATGCTATACGCTCAGTATCGAAGGACGTGAAGCCAGTCATAAACAACAACAACAAAGACAACACGCCGCAGTCACCCACGCCACAGCCAGTAGCAGGACCCGGTCGCAACAACTTTCGTGAGGTCTTCCAAATTGAGCCTACAGGGTCTCAGAGGTCTAGCCTCTGCCGTCATAGAACCCTGCCGCGCGTGGAGCTTCCTAGCAATCTAACCATACGAGAAAGCCTGTCGGCAGATGAGCTTAAGATAGCTGCAGGGACCCTAAGCGTACGAAAAAAACGGAGCACGAGCACAACACTTCGCGAAGATGTGTTCAAGGGTATGGTAGAAGGAATTCTTCCCATTGGTCTTTGCGACGTTGCGCCGCTACCACTTTGCTGAAAACAAAAGAGCAAGGGTGGATTTGGAACACTTCTGCGGTCGACAGGAAACGTGCGTGACACTGTCCGTGACAGAACGGCCGCTCCGCGATGCGATGGCGGGGGTGGAAACCTACAATGACAGCTGATGACGGACTAGATTCCTCGAGACCGAATTCTCGAGGCAGGATTGCATCCAAGCGCCATCGTATTGAAGCAAGCTACTCACGTTCTCGACGTCGCGCTGCAGGACAATGTGTCTCACGAGACTGTCGTACCATCAAGTTGGGAGCCATGTCGCAGATAACTCCGCGGGAAAGGACACTTGAATGTCCGGCCAGCATCATCGGCGGCGTACGGCATCGTGGTGTTGGTCGGTCCTTAGTCGAAGGAGAGGATGTGGTGTGTCTGACCGGGACAAGATCAACTTCCGTGGCTTACGCCCTCTCGCTAAACCACCGGCTCAAGTGCTGCAACATGTCCCCTATACCTGAACGGGACGCAAGCCATCTCCACGTGCTACGACCTGCAGGTTCGCGCAGAGGGGCAAAAGGCCGCATTATCGGCGTTGGACAGAAGATTGCACTGTCAGCACTATGCCTGCACGCATCGTGGTGTGGTAGCTCGAGTGCTCCCGAGGTTGATCTTTCACGAACCTGCAGCAATCAGCATCATGCTCGCTATCTAGCTTCGCCCTCCTCCGCAGCTCCGCCTCTGCGCTCGAACAACATCAACACCAACACCAAGATCGTCTTCAGCCAGCCTTGCGCTTGGATCGCAGCGTAGATCGCATCCAGAACAGCGCTAGGTGGCCGCTCCGCTGGCGATAGCGCGCTGTCGCTTAAACCTGGTGACCTGGCGTCTGGGCTCGCCCGGACGATCAATTATAGATTCTGCGCTTCGCTTTCGTATACAAGCCTGGAGTTTGGTTATACATCGGCGCATTGCAGTTCTGAGATGGATTTTACAAGTCTCGTGGACAGGGCAGTGTATGCAGGGACTCTGAAGTGCGTCTATACTACTGCAATGATGCATCGGTACAGAGCTTAAACACTTGCATGTGCACAGGGTACGTGCTGGCGGGCCATAGCCGAGCGGGATCGAGGGTCAAATCGCGAATCGAAGCCGACTGAGCAGAAGATCTTCAGTGTAGAAAACGTCATTGGTGATTAAGGTTTGGTAGTCTACATCCACTGAAGAACTTACATTGAACATCGACGATGTTCAGCGGGCGAAAGTAGGTTCAGGTAAACCATCTTCTAATCATCAGCATATTAGCATTACAAGCATAGCCAGGCCGCGGGACTTGCGACCGCAAGGCGACCCGTGGTCCGGCCGCACTCCTACACAGTACAACTTAGGCTATCTATGCAGTCCTTCAAATCTAACACGACTGCGCCTCAACGGCTGGCTCAAGGCATTCATCACAGCCTATATTTCTTGTGAGCACGGGCCGAGAGCAGGAGTAACACCATACGTTGTTTTCGGGAAGATTGCAACCATCTACCAATGACGTTCTGTCAAGGAGTGATCAACGCATGGCTGAAACAGCCCAATCTTGTTGCTCCCACTCCAACATAATAGACTGCTCCCTAAGATCGTCACGAAGAGACACCGCTCTACTATGACGACACATCGAGATGAAGCAAGTTTGTAGATGTAGCAGATTCGTACGGGATATCGATGCGAGATATGAAGCGTCTACGTTTCAGTCGTCGCTACAAAGTTTACTCTTGGTGTAGCTTTTGTGAAGTAGAGGGGAAGGAACGTATCGGATGTCTCGGCCGGCGACCTGTTTCGTTATGAAGGACTATGGCAGGTATGACGAGAGTTTTTACAATATTGGGCCTTGGTTCTATCGGTGACTGCACAGGTATCCATCAACCATACTCGGCAAAGTTTGTGTTGTGGAAGACTGAAAGACTTTTTTGCACTTCTACATGCGCTATTGTATCGTACACTGTATACATTTGAGATGACACGCCCATATATTGGGGTGCTTCGGATTTTGCCATCTGCCTGCAACAAGCTAGACATAAATCATCGTACTTGGTAAACCCATGCCCCCTGTACTGTGGTAGATTGGACTAGAACATAAAGGAACATATCTCAATCCTAGGATCATGCATAAGTTGCAATGACAGGTAGGCGTGCAATGATAATCGACAGAAGAGAATGTCCATCTATAAGGCGGTTGCAGAAGACTGGTGAAAATAGTAACGATCTGGCTTCTCATACGTATGCCTGTATAGTCATAGCGAAGATCTATAGATGGTAGTCAGTAAAGGCTAATGAAGAGACAGCCGATAAACTCTGACCGACCAGATTGACTTACGTGATAATCGACTCACAAATCAGACCCTGAAATATCGCTGATCAGGCTGGGTCCGATCACTGAGTCCTGCGTCTCAGTTTGCGCTTCGGGTTGGGTTTGACCCGGAGGCAAACATTGTCCAGACGCGAGTATGTTCATGCCGTCAAAGAGGTCATCCTGAGGAGATTCATAGATATTATCAGTACCGTCTAGGCCGTACGATTGCGGAGGATCGTCAGAGTAAAGAGCGTTGGAGACGAGGGAGTGTCGGTCCGCCACCTGTTTTTCGGCGCTCGACTGTCGATATTGCGCAACTGGTATGATGGACATCCCTTCATTCTCCTCGATGAGTGGCTCGGGGCCTGTGTTGCTGGGGTTTTCCTTATCATCATGCTCATAGTTCAGTGGTGACGCTTCCATTGCTTCGCGCGCTAGCTGGTCTTCAAGT